GGAGGGGGGGTGAGAGTGAAATCCCCTCTGTTTTTTTGTTTCTTTCCCTTCCTAACCTTAGCTAGCCAGCGCTAGTGGAGAATCGCCCCCCTCGTCTTGCTCTTGCTCTTGCTCTTGCTAAATGCCTTCTCAGCATTCTCACCCCCCACCCCCCTCCCTGTTTGTTTGGTAGTTTGGTCGTGGGCGAGGTTTTGATGTTAGCGAGCTGTGTTTATCATATTATATTATAGCATATCATATCATAGATATTATATTTGAGTGACGAGAGGAGAAACCCCCCCCCCCCCCCCCGCCCCGACCGGAGAGCTATAGATACCTACCTAAGCACCGTGGGGTGCGTACGTACGTACAAATAAGTCACGGAACGAAATGAAGCAAGGAAGTACCAAGGGGAATAAATGTATATATATATATATTGAAATTCTACATCAACAGCAATATATACCTACCGTATGTAGCCGCCACAGACAAGACAAGCATGAGACCCGCGGGTTAGGTGATTTTTGCTCGCTTGGGGCTTGCTTCAGCATCACTACACCACGCGAAGAAGGAAACTGGCAGCGATTGGCTACCGGCGACTGGCTTTGCAGACAGGGAACCAGGCTCGAGAGAGAAGAAGGAGGAGGAGGAGAAGGAGAAGAAGAAGAAGGAGAAAGAAGAAGGAAGGATTAACAAGGGGTACCTACCGGTACCTACCTATGTGTCGATCGATGATCTTGCTTCTGGTCATAGATCCCAACCAACTTTTCGGTTTCGTGCTTATGCTTTGCTGCTTCTCTACTACTCTACTAAGCGCCGATACGGGTGAGCTTGCAGATAGATAGATCCCCTCGAACTAGTAGAGTTGTGAGCGCCCAAGGTTAAGTGCGATGGAACGGCAGGCTGACAACAACGACATCATGTTGCTGTTGATCGAATTCTGAAGTGTTTGAATCATGATGGCCGATTTTTTCTCTGAAACCCCTCCCCCCCGGACTTGAGAAGTAGGAGGCAAACAGGTCCCACGCTGGAAGCTTGGCATCCGTAAGGAAAATAACCTACTGGTGGCTGGCAAGGTTGACCTTCGACTTACTAACCGCCAGTGATGAATGACCGTGTGCTTGCTGCCTTCTTACAGGTGGAGCGAGGACCGCTGACGAACATGACGGCTCGCTTGCTCCGATATCCAGTAAGGGAATTTGGAAGCTGAGAGACCACGAAGAAGACTGGTCACCGGGGTCACAGCATCGAGTAAACACTATTCTGGCGCCACTGGAGTTGTCGAGGACAGGGCGTGATGGCGTGGTGGCTTCATGACTTACGAACCTTTGAATGACTTCTCGGCTTGCCAATCCAAAAGGCGGAGATGAAACACGAACCGTGATAAGAAGCTCTCCATGTGAAAGAGGCTTGAAGACGCTGCTTCTTCAGTTCTTCAATCCGCTTTAGATAGACCACAGGCTGTGGAGCTTAGCATGGAGAACAAAAGGGTGCGTCACTAGTTCGTTAGATGGCCTAATTGGCACAGATCAAATTGGCAATTGGAAGAGGCATTCGACAGAGGAAAAGTGGTGATAAAATAGCAGAAATGGGGAGTCGTAGCGGCTTGAAGAAGCACCAGGCCGGGCATTGTCCCATTTGGATTTGATTTGTTTCGCATCTGCTGCACAGATGTGCTTAGCTATTTGGTGTTGTTGTTCAAAGCTGATGAAGGGCTGCTGAACGAGACGGGAAAGGCGTGGCAAAGGGGATAGAGGCGAGGTCCTGCTGTAATGTGGTATTTTGATCATGTATCCGATTTTGTTTCCATAATATGTTGGCGTCCGACTTTTCGAGGGCCAGAGTATATGAGATACAGTTGGACCTGCTTTCAGGTCCGGTCTGGCCAAATCGGCTTTGCTATGCTGGACCGGCGGAGCAAAGGCTTCCAGCTTCAGAAATCGCCAATGGTAGTTAGTATCTTCGTTCAGGTGGTATCCACTCACAACGACTGGCTCAATCCGAAACTTGCTAAAGTTCATTGTTGTGAAAACAGAATAAATTGCGACCTATAGTGATTTGGTCATGTTTGGATGGGAGTTGAACCGTCACCCATCATACCTACCATTTCGAAGCAGCCAAAAGGAAGTCTCTTTCCACCTAACGTGCGTTAATGCACCGCATGGTGGATATGGCTGCGGGGACCACGCATCCGTGTTCCCCGAGCACAGCGCCTAGCATTTCTTCGACTTGACAGATCACTCCTCCTTCCCATCACAATTCTACGTCCATTTAAACTTTTTCGCACCATCTGCTGCAGCAGAAATTGAACATGCCTTACAAGTCAATATCTGTGGGAACTTGAACCTGCCGTCGGGAAGAGGATATACATCGTCCAAAACGCGTTTGCGAATGAGAAGCCAGAATGGGACATTGTCGCTCGTATATGCTTGACAGCCCGGAACTTTGTCAAAACAACACTGCAAATGTAAGTTGGCCTTACTTACCTAACCAACACTGGGTCCTCAACTTAGCTGCCCCGTAGAATTGGGCGCCTGTCTTGAGAGTTGTGCAAGTGAAGCTGCGGGTCAACTCTTCATTGAGCTCCAAATGTTGAGCGCTGGACTTTAGTGCCGTAAATGAGATTCAAGATCTCGTTTAGTACATGAGTCGTGAAGAAGAGTCCTGAGTACAAACGACTTATTGAGGATAAGCGTTCCTCCGTTCAAAGGTGCGTGTAGACAGTGCTGAGAAGAGCAGATACAGAGGTTGCGGGACTAAGCCGTAGAGAGCTAAGGTCTGGCCGAATCCAGGAAAGGCTCGTCTGAAGATACAACCAGGAATGCTGTGCGGCAAGGTGCAGACTGGAATAGGAACTATTTCAAGGGCATGAGACCAGTTCGAGGACACCACTTCCTATTCACGTGACAGTCGACGGGCCCAGAACTCGGCGATGGCGTCCAGCCACAGCTTTTATGCAGGAGCCAATCAGCAGTCTGAGATCCCTGAGATCCCCGGTGATCAAAAACGGTCCTGCTGCTGAGCCGTCCTACAATGCTGGCTAGAGTTTGACCTCGCTTCGCAACTGAGAGCTGCGCAACGCTGAAATTCCCGAATTTAAATTCGAAGAGATGGGAATTCCGCCTCAATGCTACGTCGACGAGCATACATCGTGGCGTGAGGCATCGAGTTTTCATCATCGGCTGATAGGGTTTGCAACTGTGGCTAAGTCTGTGCACGATTGCATGCAGTACCGTAATTGCCCCTCGCTAGTACTGTATGCGCGCTTCAGCTCTACCAGGTACCACGGTACAAGCACAGGCCCAAGTATTACCCCTCGAGGGTAGGGTAACCGGGGGGTTTAAAGTGGAAACTAACCTTTTAAGGCACCCTCGAGGGGTAATACTTAGGCCTGTACCGTGGTACTTTTGATCAAAATCCAATGTATGGGGTTGGATATGCGTCAGGGGTGCTAGGCTGATGGGAAAGAGAGTATGTCGAAGAGGTGGGTTCGTCTCCGTAGTTGTAAAAGATTTTATTTGTACCTCGACATGAGCACGTCTTGTGATTTTGACGACGATGAGTGACTGGTACAAAGGCACTCTGCACGGCATCGAATCAACAGCCGTGATAACGAGCTGGTAGTGCCGACAGTTAATTATCCTTATCCTCATGACTCGATTGGCAGGAGGCTGTCAATGTCTGTGCCGAACGGGTCGGGAGAAACATTAGGTCCAAGAGCAGAGTTTGAGCTTCGGCCCTTGGCTGGCTCAGGTGGGCGAGCCGCCGGGACAAGCAAAATCTTCCAATCCGTTGGTTGTGGATATCCGGATGGAGGCCAATGAGACGGCAGAGAAGTCAAGCCATGGGCACCACGGGAGCTATTTTCGTACAACGTCGAGTCGAGGGCAGGATCTGTCGAATGAGAGAAATACGTAGCAGATATGATGTCCGGTAAGAGCCCCACCGAGCGACGGATAGACGGGATCTGGCCGTTGAATAAGGACGGGCTTGGGGCCGACGTGCTTGACAGGAGGAGGGTATGCTTCATAATGACCCTGTGAGTGTCATGGGTCACGGCTCACGTCACGATCTTGAGGAGAGTCGGTGATGGCGTCCACGAGATCCGTTGGGAATGCAGTAGCAAGACGGTGAGAGGCTCAGGCCAGCGAGGCCAGCGAGGCCACTGAGAGAGAACACCTGACCTGGCTACCCCGTAGACGCCAGAAATAGACGCAGTGGCGCCGCGAACCGCGTATGTTGCTTTATTCGTTCCGTATTCCGGTATTTCGGTGTATCGGGAGGATTTGACGTTGAGGCTGCTTGCATGAAGGGAACGAGGGGAGCTGAGAAGAGACAGTTCTGAATATCCAGTGTGAATATCCAGTGCTACGCGAAGACTTAGTCCTAATGGGGCATCACATGTCACTTAGTGCCTTACCTTAAATGAACAACGAATTAAACATCGGCGGCTAAGAGCTCTCCGTCATCGGATCCAGGCTCCAAAGACGGCTTTTTTAACGTCCACCGCTCCACGAATGAATGCCCTCTCCAGCTTTCGCCCTGCACGCATCTCACAGTACTTACTTACCATAGGAATTTTGTATTTTTTTTGCTTCCTCTAGGTATGTTGCTGTCGCGCCGGAGCTGCTTTTGGGCTTCTGCTACACTTTTACGTACCAGGTCTGGATATGTACGTCCGACCTCTGTATGTATGTATTTCACTATGTACTGCACTACTACTCGACCCGGCCATCCTCTTTCCCCAACCCTTTACTGCATACAGGCTCTATTGTTACTTGGCCCGAAAACTCAAAATCAACCCTCAATCCTGTCTGGCCTGGTCTTCCAGAAGCACGATTTTTCAGCGCCCCCGCATGATTGACATTGCACTTCTGTGTCTGCATCTGAACCTGCATCTGCATCTGCATGCTATCCACAGGAGAGCAGGCTAGCAGGCTCCAACGCCACGCCCAAAATATAAACCCCAGGCCTGTACTCTGCCAGCGTTGACAGCCAGCGATCTCACTAGGCACGGCAGTGCTCTCTCCACTCGTCTCCACCGGTGGCCCGGGCCAGATTGATTTGATATCTTGGTGATGGATCAGCTCGACCTTGACTCGGCACTTTGCTCTCTAATACATCCGTCGTCATCTTTCAAACTTTGGCTTTCTCAAGGCAAGCGCTGCTAGAAAACAAGCGCCGCCTCCGTTGAGTGCGTTCTCTGTTCTACTCCTACATTCTATCTCTAGTCCTCTTTGACGACCGACCCTAAAACAACCCTATCACCTCCAATTTTCTGCTTTTCTACTGTAGACATTGTCTACCGTCGTGGCTCTGCTCTGCCCTGGCCAGAATTAATTGTTATTTCTTCCTTTCCTTCTGATTGTCGCAAAGTTTCAAGTAACCCTGGCGGCCTACTCTACGTGCGAATACGGACCACGTTTGAGCCACCGCGACGCCTGGTTTTGCTACGTGCCTTTCGACTTGCATCATATAATACTCAAAGCCCCTACTTTTATAAAGTCGGTCCTCACGGACAACAAAAGTTTTTGCGGATCCTGGATGTAAGCTCTCATCTTAGTTGCGATTGTTGACTTGCTACGGGAGCTCATACAGCACAGATACCCGAGTCACTGCTACAAGCTCTTGATTCCCCCCAAAGTTTTCGAGAGATGCTGAACAGATACTACCCCGGCATATTATAGCATTGGTACAAACCACAGACATTGCAATCAATACAAAGGTAGCAGCATCATAATGGCATCATACAAATCTGGGTTCGACCCTCCCATGCGGCCTGGGGATCTGCCACGGGGGAGAAGATTGGGGCAGTATATGCAGACAGGATCAGTTGGGTTCCCAACGAAAGAGAATAGAGAATCAGATATCAGACATGATCCCAGGCAGATGAAATCCAGGAGAGATATCATACCAGCCACTAGACTCCCGCCAAGAATACCTACCAGGCCGTACGTGCGCCAACCTTCACCGAGCCCAAATTCCAGACCAGAAGCGTCGGAACAAACAACAGGATCAACTTTTGGATTTGGAAGGGCTCAGAGTACGCCGCTAGTCGAGAAGGCGCAACCCGTGCTCAAGGCAAAATCATCCCGGAATTTGTTGAGGCGGAAACAATCTTCGATCGCACAATCATCAGGACAATCTCGGCCAGGTTCTATAATTGCAGAGTCTTCCTCTCCAAAGGAATGGTCACGAAAACCAACCGAGACGCGTCAAAGTGTTGAAGCCTTGATGAAATCAGCCGAAGGTAGCGATGAGAACTTTACGAAACCGATCCCCAGGGCTTCGATAGTGACAAAATCACCACCTATAATCCCCGAGCTGGACAGGTATCGGAACAGGCCAGACGTTTTCAGAGCGCATAGCAAGCCTGTCGTGGAATTGCCACCCAAACTTTCCACGCAAGACTTGCCTCCCCCAACCCCTCTCGTGTCTGGGGCACATGTGTACTACTCCGGGGGAAGCAGTCAATACCGATACAGTGGTAGTATGTATAGCGCAAGCCCATCGACGCGTTTCTCGGGGTCTCCAGGTCTTGGGATGTATAGTCGGGACACCACCCCTACATCCATGTCATCTCAGTCCCCCGGTATAATCGCACCTCTCAAGTCTACCGCGCCAAGGTTACAACAGGTCAGTCCTGCTCCATCACGCCCAACTCTTTCGACTGCAGCGAGAAGGGAGGCTACCAGCATCCCCAACGAAGTGGAAGTAGCACCCGACGTCGAGCAACATGGTCTTCCCTCGCTCAGTATATCGGTAACATCCTCTTCTTCGAACTCGACAATTAAGGAAGATGGTAAAACAAAAGAAACGACGAAGAACAGGAGTCTATCGCCACTGCCGCCAAGTCCCCCGCCGCGGAAATCCTCCCAAAAATTCAATACACCTCGCTCCGAAAAACAAGAATCTCCCTCGAACCCATCTCAAGCCCCAGCGAAGCCCGTGATGGTATCCGACCAGCCGTCTCTTGCCAAACAACAGAGGCCTGCTCTTACAGTAGCTACCAAAATCAACGATGCACCGACACGACCAAGCAGAGAAGGAACACCGAACGTTCAGTCTCAGCTGAGTGGCTCGAGGAAAAAAATGCCAAGCAATTTGACGGAGGTTGGCTTTTCGCCAGATAGGAGGAAAAGTGTATTACCTCGGGCCGCTGTCACTTCTCCTCCCCTGTCTCACTTAGCACGTCGCTCTCAACAGCCAACTCGCCTGCCATCAAGAATACCCTCCCCAAATCCTATAATAGCATCGCCACAGGAACCAACACATACGCCATCAGGACTTGGAATCATCCCGGATCTCAGACCTCAGCTGAAGTCATCAAGAGTAGCAGCCAGCCGCACCCCCAGTCCAAGTTTAGCGAACGCTAAGCCTCTCTTTGGACTGTTTGGACGGCGTACGAGAACTGCAAATGAGCTACCAACCGCTGAGATCAAAGAGAAGGTCGTACGAAGGGGGCCTGCTGCTGGGACAGGGCACGAGGGATACGGAAGATATGCACGAGCGAGAAGTACCAGTGCTGGTGGTCTTGGCAGAGGTCGAGACATAAGGATAAATGGAGCAAGCTCGTCGCAAGAGAGTCTTGCCAGTACCCGTGCTCAAGACCCGTTTCTCCTCGAGCGCATGAGCCCTGTGATAATCGCTGGTGGAGGAGAAATCGTCGAGAATCGTAACACCAGTTCGGAATTCTCTCGAACCGAGAGCAATACGAGCCTACTATTGGGTCGACCTAGCACTGATTCAAGACCTTCGTCGAAGCTTAGTCACGAATCACCTCGAGCTGCAATTTGGCCGTCAGCAATACCCAAAATTCGCCGGCCGTCAGACAGCAGTGATGATGGGATTAGGAGGAGCTCATTGGCTTTTCGTCGGTCAATACAGCGACTGAATAACTCGACCAGTACGATGAGCCTCCCACGGCCGCTAAAATTCTCTGCAATGGGCAGGGTCGCAGCACCGTCAATCACAAGCCTGGATGCGAGTATCAAGTCAGAAGAGCCTCAACTAGAGACCAGAGCACAGACTGGAATGTCACGAACGGCCGAGATCTCCAAGCCGAAAAAGCTAGAGAAACGACCAAAGTCGCCTCGCAAATGGAATTTCTTCCATCGATCACAACAAACAAAATCCGAGGCTCATTCCGTGCAAGTAACTGTCGCGAAAGCGGGCCCGAAGCCTTCCGCGGTGCCTCACTATGCTTTGCTCGATTCCTCCGATGAACAGCAGGATATGGATACCATGGACTTGGATGACATCCTCTGTGACGATGATGTAATCACTCTTTCGAATGAAGAGTTAGATCTCCTTCAGTTCGGAAATGTTCAAGAAAATCAGCGTTGGATGGACGATCTCCATATGATACCCAAAAGTGACGAAATCCCCAACCGGAATTTATTCTCGTCCCCGAAGCCTGCACTAGGCGATATTGAGTTCGCTCAAACTGATCTTCACTTTGCCAAGAAGAGTACACCAGTTCGTCCCAGTCGACTACCCCAGGTTGGAAGGATACCCAAAGTCATCTCAGCTCGACCTGAGACCACGTCGCCGAAGTCATTCTCTAGGCCATTTGCCCGTCTAAGCACTGTGCAGCCACTCCCAAAGCTACAGATTTTCGATAAAGACTCTGTCGGTCTAGGCCCGAGTCCGCCAAAGTCTCCCACGCCAAAGCCTTGCCAGGGAGACTCCGACACCTCTGACGTGAACCCTGTGTCAAGATATACCTCTGGTGATTCAAATACCGTGAACATGGATGAAAGTCACCGTGAATTTCTTGCATTTTTTCCTCGCAAGAGCTCGGAAGCGACGACGAATAGCTCTGGTGGCTTGAGCCTTTCTGGAATCACCGCTGTGATACCCGAGGCTGATGCTGAACTGGAGGAAGACGAGGTGTGGGACGAGTATGACGACCTCATTCAGAACAACAAAGTTCCCCTATCAGCAACATCTTCGCAAGGTATGCCCTTCCAGTACGAGAGCTACGAAAGTCGACAGATCAGAAAAAGCAAGGTCCATGCTAAGGAGTCACCTACGTTGGCATCTGCCCCCGAGACCAAAGAGCAGGAGATTGAATTACCGGAGCGAGGTTCAACATTCACAGCATCCAGTGTGTATAGCGGAGACATGAGTGCCAGGTTGCGAGAGGCTCTGGCCTCCATCCCAACACCAACAACTCCAAAGTCTTTCACAGATTTCTTTTCGGGTTCTGGCGACCGCGACAACTCCATTCATAGTGACTCGATCCAGAACCCCCGACACGGCTCACAAGGCAGCTCACGGAAATCAATATCGTCGAGCAGTCACTCTCGCTCGCTATCAGGTCTCGATGCCATCGCAGAACAGGAGAACAACTCGCCAATTTCACAAGTGAATCTGCGGGTTGGATCGATGACGGTGTCGAAGTGGCTTACATTCGGCCACGTTCTGTTCAGTCCCGCTCGGGAAGAACTGATGCAATTAAACGGATCAACAAAACGCCATTCAATCCTTGTCATCGATGGTCTGGGCAACGGTAAGTTCCCTTCCCCAGTCCTCATCCCACTTCAAATTTAACTAAGCAAACACCACATAATAGACGACTGGTCCTTCTACGCCGCCGAAACCTATCCTGCCCACACCTTCTACAACCTCTCCCCAACTCAGCCCCTCTCCGCCTCCCAAAATACCTCCCCCTCATTCCCTCCTACGCCCCCCAATCACCGCCAAACCCAGCACTCATCCCTAGGCACCGCCAAGTTCCCCCTCCCATCCTCTACCTTCTCAGTCGTCGTCTTTCGCTTCCCAGTCGCCATGCCGGAATCCAGCACCCGCTTTATTATCTCCGAAGCTAAGCGAGTCCTTAAGCCAGGCGGCTATCTCGAAATGGCAATTCTGGACCTCGACATGCTGAACATGGGGAACCGCACCCGCCGCGCCGTCCGCGGCTTAAAGGTCAGAATCCAGGCCGCGGATCCGAATATCAATCTTGCGAGCGCGAGCGATACAGTGCTCCGGTGTGTAGGCAAGCGCGGATTTAGCGATTTAAAGAGCTGTAACGTTGGTGTTCCCGTCGCGTCCACCATCCCCTCCGCTACCAAACCATCTCCAGCCCGGAAAGGCAAAAGAAAAACCAGAAGTAAAGCCAGAGACAGAGAACCGATCCGCGAGATCAAAGAAGAGTTAAGCCTAGCAGATATGCTGAAGGATTCAACGCCCGCGGGCGACGAAAGCATTACTAAGATGGTCGCGAGGGTGGGACGATGGTGGTACACGCGCTGCTACGAGAATGCTGCCGGAGATCAGGGAAGTAGCATTTGGAGTGACGCGACACTGCTGGGGGAGTGCGAGAAGTGGAACACGAGCTTAAAGCTGGTCGTTGCGTATGCGCAGAAGCCAGTGCAAAGACGTAGGAGGACCAATAGCGTCTAGGTGCTTCTCTGCTCTTCTTCTATCTATCAAATCCTCTCCAACTATCACCACTACCACCACCGCCGCCATCACCACCACTACTCCTGCTAAAATTTGTTTACGTTCTCGTTTTCATTCTGGCCTTTTTGGTTTCTTCGGCCCTTCCGGGGGCCTGCATTATTGCAAAGCGCCGGCGAGGACCGTGTCTCTCCGGTGTTTCGGTTCTTCTGTTCATATCGAACGGTAAAAAGATACAGGGGCGCGAGCCTGGTGCATGCCTCTTTTAGGTGTCTTTCATCCCCTCCTCTGCTTCTCCACTTCTCTACATACCGTACATTACATTACATACACTCCCATTTTCTTGCTCTTCTATTTCTTCGGCCAGGTATATTCATATATAATCACAGGCTGGCAGTTCATTAATCTTATCGCGTTACGCACATTGCAGTCTGGTTATTGCTTAATAGGACCATGAGAGCGAGGATACCGACTTTTCCTTTTTTTTTTCCCCCAGGGGGAGGATACGATGATGATGCTTGCCGGCTGGAACGCAATATGACTGTAACGATGATAGGATGATGATGAGATATGGGAGCGCGTTCGTCATGTCGTTCCTTTTTTTCTTTCACCCCTCAAAAAAAGTTTTGATTTAGAAGCGTGCGAGCGTGCATTCTGATCTTTGTTTTTGTTATCATGCCTGCGGAAAGCGGATGATAGATGTATACCCACTTACTAAGTTATCTACTACTTTACTCCTTCATCTGGTGCTGATTCTTACCTACCTACGTATGTATATATGTATATGCTTCCTAAAAGAGCCCTGCCGCTCCAGCTTTAACCCCAACTACTATTTAAGATAACGAATCGACCCAGCCAGAAATATCTATATCATCCCATCCGTAGATTCATTTAAACATGGCTTTATGCTCGGGTAGCCTCGCTGCATTGACTGACACGACTATTGTCGGGGCATCATGGATTGCAAGACGGATTGAAAAATTGCTGCTGATCTATGTAATAAACAGTAGCCCGTTGAATTCATAAAGTGAGCTTTATTTTCTTCAGAGAGACTTTGTTTTGATTTGTTCTACTTTTTCCTCGCTCACATACGGCTTCACCGCTTCTATTCTGCCCAAACTTCGCTTCGACAACTCAATTTAGCTCAACTCAATTTCAACATCACCCGAGAATTCTAACTGAAAGACCCAGAACAAACTCCAATAGAGCGCCAAAATGCCAATTCACCACATCTCCATCCCAGTTCGCGACGTCGCGGCCTCTAAAGCCTTCTACACAGCCGTGCTTCAATCACTCACCTACGGCGTCTACAAGGACCTCGGAAACTCAGTCGGCTTTGCGCCGCCCGGTGGACGCGCCGACTTCTGGATCCACGCCAGTCCCGAAGCGGGCCATGAGAAGCAGAACCGCAATTTGAACATTATTACCCACGTCGCTTTTGCGGGTAAGAGTGAAAAGGATGTAGAGGACTTCCATGCGGCTGCTTTGTAGGCTTTCCAACTCCAGACCCCAGATCCAGACCTGGAAACGGGACTTGACGGATAGAGGGAGGGTGCTGGGTTGGAATGAATGCAGTCATGGATGCTGGCTGATATTTGCATGCTTGATTTTGGTGTAGGGCGGCGGGGGCCAAGTGCAATGGTCCGCCGGGATTTCGACCCGTGTATCATGAGAAGTACTACGGTGCTTTCATCCTCGATCTGGATGGGAACAATATCGAATGCGTCTACTACGATATGTAGGTTGTTGCGCTGTCAATGGATGCATTGGCGGGTTGATCTAGGGGTTTTAATTTCTTTCATGGGTCAGGGTGTCGAAGTTGACTAGGGATAATCAATCGATGGGTCCAATTGCTTGCATCACCTTCAGGGAGATGGTGATATGTTTCCATGGGAGACTGGGGATCTCTACACCGCAATGGAGTCAGATTCACAGGTCGTGGGTTTCTCTGTCTGCCATAACCGAACTTTTGTATTAAGTTGAGTGAATCACCCGTGATTTTTGCGCCTCCCCTTACCCATCCCTCTAACCCAGATCTAAGCGAGGAGCACTTCCATTGACCGCTTTTATCAAAAGAAAAGAAACCTGCATGAGCGACCAAATTGACATTGAGTTTGGGCTCCATCGCTTAGCCGCACCTGAACATGGATTTGAAACCCTCGGATACCCATTTTCCGCCTCTGCACTGGAAATCGATACCGGCAGTCACGCGAGGGCAAGAGAAAGTGGAAATACCGAAGAGAAAAACACCATTGACTCCGAGCATGTCGACTGCTGCAGAGTATTGATGCTTCGGGCAACGAGCGGCGACAGCACCTACGCACAGACAATCAAGAAATTACTGCACGCCAGGTCTTGTTCCCCAGGATACCACCCATACCGTGCACAAAGCCTTGAACTTGATCAGGCTGTGGTAGTACCCAAACAAGATCCCACCAGGAATCCAAAGCATATCCTTCGGGTTACGCCAGTAATGAGGGAACGGCTTGATCATCTTTGACAAGAACAGGACCAGGACCAAGAAACCCATCGCGGCAAATTTGCTGGTGCTGGCGAGATCTGGGCAGGCTGACGTGTTGAGTGAGAGCTCCTTAGGATGGTATCTGATAGCCGGGTCCCCGGGGCAGTGTCGTGGTCGAGGGACAGTCTCGCTGGCGGTCTCGAGGCTGCGCAGACTAAACCACAGAGTGATGAGCAGCGCCGAATCGTAGAGGAGAGCAATATTGACGAAGCTGGAGAGATACACAGCATAGACGGACCACGGCTGGGCTTTCCAGGGTGTTTGGTCGGAGAAAAGGCTGGTGGTGTTCGATCGCCAGGTGGTACGGATCCATCGGTCCATCTGCTTGAAGAAGATATCGGGTCTTCCGAGCGTAGTGCACATGGTGCTGTCAACCGAGTTCTGAGTGATGAGTTTAGCACACGGCATTCTATCAAGTGAGGACCCTCATTGAGCTGACGGCAGGCCAACAGCCACCGGCAGCAGATTCAACCTCTTCACAGAGGACAAGACTTACTTGGAACCAGACTTTGTACTTGGCAACACCAACCGTGAATCTGGTCAAGCAGTTATCATCATCCACCATGAGTCCATGCTTTCCAACAAGTCCATAGAGCCACGTCTCATGCAAGTATTCCTCCTCGAAGCGCGGATGCTTGAAGATCGAGGTCCGGTAGAAGGCGGTTCGTCCAGAAAGCACGAAGACCCCAGAGTCGATGTTTGCCGAAGCCGTGCACTCGAAATTGTGGCGCTCAAGGTACAAGCAGGCGATGAAGTTCAAGAAATTCGCCCAGGTGAACTCGAACGGATCGCGGAGGACTCTCTTGTTCGTGCCGACTCCCCCGATCGCAGGGTCTTCGAACGGAGCGAGGGCAGCCTTGAGGTAGTTCTCTGGCCAGAAGACATGGTCGTCTGCGAGCGCGATAATCGGGGTCTCGACTCGCTGTATGGCCTTGAAGATCTGTTCCCGCTTCGAGGCTACCTCGATCGAAGTCGCGCGGACGAGGGTATTGGTTGGTCGGCGGTTTTGGGCCTTCGCGAGCTTCTCTGCGCACACCCGCTCGGCGACGGAGCGCTTCTTCGATCCAACGGTACAGACGATGATTTCGGCCGGCTTGTTCAGGAGGATAGTTTTGAGGGTTTCTCGAACTATACGCAATCGAATCAGCATCGAACCCTTCTAAAGCAGTGTACATTTTGAGGAGTTTCTGTGATATCCCTGCAAGATTGGCCACATATTGCAGTTGGTGACGACCCTCAAGAAACAGCTGACAGAAGGAAATGACCTACAATCTTCCTCATCAATAGCACCGATGGTGGGTATGATAACAGTAACATCTTGGGGTGTAATGGTAGAATCCCATGGAATAGGATATGGACGGTAGAGCAGGAAAGATGCCGTGTGGATCACCACTTTCAGGAACTTGAAGACAAACAGGAAGACAAAAGCTTTGACCCAGCTGCTCGTGATAGCGAGGTAGGTTTCGATCTGATTATGATAGACATAGGCCAAGTAGAAGGTAAGAAAGATCTTGAACGGGGGCCCTAGAAAGCAGAATAGTCAGCATACGCTCTGCCGAGAGATGATCGAGGAGCAGAGATCGCTCAAGTGCACCTGAGAGCGTAAGCATCAATGGAGTTGGGAAAACAAGAGGTATTCCCAGCAGCTGGGTACCCCCGAAAACCTACAGTCCCATGCGATCGACTTCGCAAGCCGAGCAGCATTGTACAGTGTTGTCAGCAAGATTTTCAAAACCGTTCTGAAGATGATGTCGACCATCTTGTCTGCCGACATGGTTGTGTCGATGACTTTCCGGAGAGGAGTGGTTGGGAGAAAACCCTTTTCTCCTCATGGGATTTGGTACGTCGACCTCGACCATGAAATATTCACCAACACCAATCGATCTTCGTGTAGGAAACCCAAGCGCGTCGGACCGTGACCCGTCAGAACAGAAAGCAAGAGAATTTACGCCCAGTTCCTCAGTCTTTTTTATATGTTGACTTCTTACGACCGATCAGACTTCACTACGAGTATACGAGTATGTACGCCATCACCAGCAGTGGGCCTGCCGGTCTAAGTTTCAACACATGCGGTATTGCAAAATGACGGGAATCGGGAGACAAGGCTAAGACAAGGCTATGATATCTGCTCAACTCTTTTGCTAGAGTAACAAAGGACGGGTCTACATAAACGGGATAAAATCTGAACAGAATCTTTATTGAAAGAGCTATTAGAAAGCCATAAATGCTTGATAAGATAACAGAAGTAGGTGATAAAGAACAAGACCAACAAGTAAATAAACTGATACTATCATGCGGGTCTCAAGAGCAAATTATGGGCGGTACTGGACTAGCAGAGAAAGGATTGCTCTCTCCCAAGCAATGTTTAAGAAATCTTTAATTGGAATTCTCTAGAGTTGTAACAAATCCACAAGGCATAATATCAGAAAAGATGCATGGTGATTGATGGCAGGTGACAATTTTAGTCTGACCAAGACATCAAATAAACAGTTATATATTCTGCAAGTTTAGACTGTACCGCTTTTGCCCAGGAAGAATAGTCCGAACTCGAAGAATGGTTATTACAATGGGTATCGCACGGGAATTACCGTAGGACAGAATTCTCAGCCTCACCTTTCGTAATGCTCAACTCTCAGAGGAGGCCATCAGGACAATTGCTGTGCCTTGAGCAACTTGTTTGACACCAGTGATACACTAGGAAGACCGAATTTAACGCGCGGATACCATACGGCGTGCAGGCCAAAGGAAGGCTCCTAAGATATATAGTAACGAACATCATCTGTCACCAGTGGGAGTGTTACGGCTGGAAGAGGTAGTATTGTAGTACTACCAATTGGTACGCTATGTAGTGTGAAAGAAAGACGAGGAAGGAAAGAACTACAATACAGGGAGGACGAGAGGTCTTATACCGTGGGGCGGCCGCTAGCCCCTAGCCTCAGGCCTGTCAGGACCGTAAGAGAGAGGAACATGGCATTGATTGACTTTAGGGACACAACCATAAGTCCCGGTAGCTTCTCTTCACTTACAGGCACAGTTCAACTCTGATCGATTACTCCAACCCTTATCAAGTTCATCAACCGGTATCAGCGAAGACTTGCGCTTCGCTGACGTCGTGCACTCACGCGGAGTCACACCCGAACTAGGAAGGAACCACGCGATTTTGGGGGCCGTCAAAAAATCGATTCTCGTCCTTACTTGATCCTTCCTTGGCTTTTGGCGACCAATAGCGATGCAGTCCCGCTTCTGGGAACCTGGACACTAGAGAAGCCATTTTAAATGCAGGTTAGGGACCGAGAAAGCCCGTATGGAGCGAGCATGGGAGTTTCCGCGGAGGCAATATCCATATCGATAAAAGACAACGGCATTTCTATGCACCCGGAAAGTTTGGAGAAAGGATGGCCGATAGACTGGTTCATGACGCGCCCTTGAGGGACCGATCCTTTGCCAAGATACGAACAGCAAATATGTAAATCGGGTCAATGTGTGATCTGGCCAGCTCGAAGCCAGTCATCCTCTGAGATGCTGAATATACGGACTGGACTGTAGATGAGTGGCGATTGGTGAGAGAGAAGCAGAAAAAGCGAGGCTATTTGCGCGGTCGACATATTAAGGTTTAGCGTAAAACCTAATCACTACCATTTCATCTGACATCGCTTCGCCCCTTTCCGCGGGGAAGGGGGGGAAGCCCGGGGCAGAAGTAAACAACGGAGATTATATACTGAAATCCTCCAGTAGACGTATTCCATGACTTGAATAATAGGCCACTGGGACTTGACGTCGCAACTTTTGGGACCTGGGTCACGGAGAATTTATGCGCTTTTGATTCTATTCCAAATTTGATCAGCGCGGAGGCTCCGGGCCTGAGAGAAGTATCTGAATATGGCATCAGCGCAACTCGTCAAGCAGCATGAACACTAAGCCCTCTTGCCACTTGACGATAGACGGCAAAGTCACACGTTTCTATATGTAACATGTATATATTATCAAATATGCTCTGGTCTGAAGCCTCGCTAATCATATATTACAATTTGGGAATGCTGCCCCCCATGCTCTCGGATTCCCCCGGTCCGAGATGCTTGATGCAGCTAACCGTGTAATCTACCTCTACAGCGGCCTCTCTTTCCAACCTCTCTCGGTCTGTCTATGCAGGAGATTCGGTAACGGTCAGAATAGTACTGCTTCTGTTCTCGGGCTCTCGCGCAAAACCAGCTCGAATAGTGAGTGACCCAGCCCAGCTTTACACTCTTCACCACATCGCCTAAACCCGGCACCTGAAGATGAAGATGAAGAGCCAGGCCGTCAAACCATTGCTTTATATCGCTCGATAGACCCTTGACAGACACCCAGCTGGTGAATACGTAAATGAGAGAGTTCCAAACGCCTTGGAGTGGGATGACCGCAACCTTGCCCTGCATGAAAGGAAGGTACACATCGCGGTCGTGGATGGTCGAACAAAGGCGATTGGCAGATGAAGGGGTCCAGGTTATGAGAGTCATGACTGCGAACATGCCCGAAATCTCCACATCACCTTGGGAGAGCCTTGCTCGGATAGATTTTTATTGCTCTGGTGGCGAGTCATTGTAGTAAGGGGTGCTCGTGGATCGTCAAGAAACATTGAGCCATTCGCTGCGTCTGTCTGCTCTAGCGTAGGCGTAATCTCAAAAAGAAAACTATTGGGAGCTCTGTGGTCAGCTGTGGAGAAAGGATCGCTGGGGCTTTGGCTGGTAGTTTGATTCCTGCTTGGCACATGTTGTCCAACACCCAAACCGGCTGTCTCGTTGCTGTCAGAATGCAAAGCGATTGACCTAGGGCTGCCTCTATGAACAGCAACGCTTTTATTATGTGATAAAATGGATCGTCTCCTGCTTGTACGTGTGTCCTTGGGGAGGAAAGCTGCAGGTGCTGGTGAAACGGGCAGGGGGGTCTCGGAGAGGAAGCCTCGTATGTCGAATGATTGGATTATGCAAGATCGACTTTTGTCGTGTAAATGGTGTACAAGACATGAACATACATGTAAGTTGTAGGAAGCTCTGCGGACCTGCATTACGTTAGCGATATTTTTTGAGCTCGAGGGGTGTTAACGCACCAAATAGGCATGAAGAAGAACCAGATTTTCCAATGGCCGTATTTGTAGGAGATCCAACAACCAAGAATCTCATTTCCGTAAAAATGATCCACGCGATAAGGCTTGACCAAGAGCAAAGCGCTAGCTATAATGAGAGGTATTCCGTAACAGCAGGGAACATAGTAGCGTTCCAGTTTCCGAAGCCGAGACGCAGTGAATCGTTTGTAGAAAGTCAAGTAGACATTCAAGGCCATTACGGATGTGAAGCCAGCATCTGCCACAGCGAAACTCAGGAGTTTCAGTGGAACCCCGTGGAGTTAGGTAGATCTGCTGGGCGTACCTCTGGAACGCAAATCCCTGGAATTGACAAAGCTTTGGGTGGATGATTTTTTGCCCGCGAAGAGGATAAGGAGAAATTAGGGTTGCAGTAGATACCATGGTGTTTAAAGGGTAGCATAGAACACAATCCTATTGATAGGTGTTTCGAATCGGCGAGAGAAGAGGAAGCTTACAACAACAAACCCAACGCCAAGGAGAGAAAGTATTGAATGAATATGCGCAACAAGTTTTGAGTTCTTAATATGGTGAGCAATCCCTCGAACATGAGGGCGCGATCGAATTATCATTTGCTATTTTAAATAGGGAAGGAAAAGATCTTGGATGAAAGAACCAGCAAATGTAACTGGACGATAACTGGACAAGATGTGGACAAGACCTGGAATTCAGATCGGCAAAAAGAGTCTTTGACACCATTCCACCATGTGAATATGACCACCGAATGCAGATTGTTGCTTGAGAGCTATAGCGGAGTATGAATCAAAGACAACGTAGTCAAAGTGTATCAAAATTATCAGCAGAGCACGAATTTTAAGCACGCTCTAGATTCATAACATAAAATCATCTATCAAAACAAGTCAGTAGAGGCGTGAATTCAATATAAAATAAAAATAAGCGCGCTACTGGTACGAAACCAATATCCTAAGGATATCGGTAGAATTTCAGTCGCGCTTCCGACCGCTCATCTGAGTGAAGCTAAACAAAATATAAGCTTTGTCCATGGTGAGAAGAAAGGTGGAGGGCCAGATTTTATACTAAATAGATAAGAACGGAATTAGGGCTCGTTTGGTTCAAAGCCAGTTTGTACAAACCGTACTGTATAAACCAGAATTTGTACATCTAATTCGTACAGACTCAACTTTTAAGCCATCTTATACAAACTGGCTTCAAACCAGACGAGCACTTACCTTATATACCAAAAGACTCCATCTTCGGAAATAGTGAGTGAGGCTCCCGCATAACACATACATGTCCAAGGTGTGCTACCAACCTACCATATAGAGCCAAAAAGCGTCGCCGCGCTTACCGACAGGTAACTAGGCATGTAGAGTTTGGTGGTTCATAGCATAGGATTGGAGTTTTTGTTAGTATGTGGATTCGGCATCTCATTTTGGACTCAACTGTCTCTATGGCCTCAGCACCAGCAATAATACGAACACGAGCACCAGCACCAGCACCAGCACGATCACAAGCATGAGCCACGAGAAGAGTACCTACACTACGTTTGCCCATTTTGAAAAATCTACGGAAAACCGTAGCTCAATCTCGTTAAGAATGGGACTAAAATGACCATGTGTGTATATATTGTCGCTATTATCTTCATCTTGCCTCATTTGCAGATACATCGCTCAAAAGCCGACCTAAATCGAAAGAAAAAAGTTAAGAAAAAAGCAGTGGGAGGAGATATCTGCAGTCTCTGCATCGCGTCCATCTCTCGGCAGCTCATCTCATATCGAACCATCATCTCGCGCAAACGGAGGGAAGATACCCTCTCCTTCCATCCCCTATAATTTCCACCCTGCTCGCTCCCTCAGCGCGCATCGATTCTACGCTCTCCAATCAACAAATCCCAGCTCAAGCCAGTCTCGGATTCCCAGTCCCCCATAGCCCCACATCGCCGTCTCCGTCTCAGAGCCTTGCAGCGTACGCGTGATCCAGAACGCAAGACCACCTATAACCCCGAAACTACTCACGACTTTTAGAACAACCCAGCCTTTCCGCTTGAGCTCCTCGTTAAGTACCAAGAGGCCGAGAGGATCGTGTCGGTCCACGCCGCCCATCACATCGTGCTCCGTTCGCCGTCTCCTCGAGTACGTACCTGTCTTTACTAATGTCCCAGATGTAGGAACATAAGCCGGCTCTTTCTTCCTAGCCTGAGAAAGCGGCACGATGGTGCCATCTTGCACGCACTCGCCCAATCTCTCGGTAAGCCACAACGCTCGTTCGCTTTTTGCTAGAGCCTCGAACCTAGCGCGCTCGTTATGGAGACTTCGCTGCAGGTCCGCTGCCCAGTTCGCGAGTCTGACTTGAGCGATGCGCTCTTCGCGTTGCGTGTGGTCCGTAATTCTTGCTAGTGCGTAGGAAGTAGTTACGCCAACTGGTGCTGTGAGACTTTGTGAAGAGGTCATGGAGGAATTTAGGGGGCGATAGAGAGATTGCGGTTTAGATGTGGGGGTGCAGGACGCGCGCCAGGCGAGGAATTTCTTGCCGGCTGAGTGTCGGAGCCATGATACGGAGTCTTGATCGAAAATCTGGGATACAAGGGTTTGGAGTTCAGAGGGGATGAGAGGCTGGATATATTCAGGTGACATTAGAAGACTGGCTTCCATTGTTTCGTTGTCTTTGGAGGGTGTCGTGGAGATTGTGTAGGGTGGGGTTGGTTGAGACGTGTGCTGCCCCTGGGCAGCCTCTGGGGTAACGCCGAATAGGAACGGTTTGATATTGGCTACCTGAAGCTCGCTCATTATATGCTCTTTAAGCAATGATATCTGTTCAGCAGAAAGGGTATCCGCTTGAGCAACAACTGGGACGACGTTCGTCAGAGCTGATAAGCGTTGCAGATATTCTAAATCCACGGACTTCAGCCCTATAAGGAGTCAGACAGGTTTCATTACTGAAACGCGTAACCCTTACTGTTATAGATGACATATAGGACTACGTCAACTTGAGAACCGCCATTCCCACTCAGTAAATTTACCATTTCGGGCTCGCTCATGCCATCGAGAGTCGTGACTTTTTTAAATTGACATTCAATGTAGTCGATAACTGGGGTTATACATTCCAGGCACTGCGAAATTAGCGGAAACCGAGGAAGGGGAAGCGAGTTTACTACTAACAGAATTTTGAGAGCCATAGCCTGGGGTGTCCACAAAGCACAAGTTTCTCTCTAAAACAGAATCTCCCATGCTCTTTCTTCTACGCAAAATCCGGCTCTCCTCTAAGTCAGACCACCAGGCTGGGTATGCTCGGGTGCTGGCATATATCTCCGTGATCTGTGATGTAGCCTGCATATCTGCACTTCCACTTCTTGACTTGGTCCGCGAACCTCTGTGCTTAGTCTCGGGTATGGAGATGGGAGTGGCGGACAGAGGGTCTACATGAACAATATCCTCGCAGACTTGGACAATCGCCTTGATCAGGGAAGTCTTGCCAACACCTGATTTTGTTAGTAAAACAGTGCGTGGTCAAATCGGAACAACCGACCAGAATCCCCAGCAATCAGCACCTTCAATCTGCCCATATTCTTCCCTCTTTCCGTAAATGGACGCCTACTTGGCATCTTAATACTCGGCATCACCAGCTGAGGGGCGCTTCCACTATCCATCATCTCAGATCCCAAGTGTTTGTCCTCCTCCCCGCTCGAGACGATAGCTTGACTGGCTACATCATCCATCAACGAGCCTGCGTCGGAGTTTCTGCGAGAGTCTGGACTACTCAAGAGCGAGGGAGGGGCAGGTGAGCCATAAGACAGAGGTGTGAAAGGCCTCGATATCGAGGCTTGGGAGGTAGGGCGTTGAAATGAGGGCGAGACATTCCTGCTAGCACCGGTAGAGGACTTTGTAGACGGCGAGGTTGGCTGGGAAAGGTCTTCTTCGGATTTCCTTGACATGCGCTGCCCCAAGTTCTTCTTCCGATTATGTCTTGCCTTATGGAGCATCTCGTCGTTTTCGTCGCTGTCTTGAGCGAGAGAGCTTATCGTGTTCTCGAGACTCTCAACGCCATAGGAGTTGCTCTTTGCCGTGTCTCGTTGTTTGGGCAGGCCACTTGGTGACCGAGACTGCGAGGCCTCCATGGTCTTCTCGTCGGATATGAAGTAGGACATTTGCGGAGGTTGGGCACGAGTGCCGAGGGGCGTTTGGTCGTTATCGAAACTGGTGCTTCGAGCGCGCTCACCGAAGACATCGTCGCCAGGCAAAGGCCGCATCTTGGATGGGGAGATGGATTTGTAGAAAGCGTTTGCGTCGTATTCATACTATTGTGGGGGGCTATTTGTTAGAATGTTGGAGAGGGGATCGTGGGATAACACGCGAGCTGTCCGTAAGGTTGGTAATTAATGGTTGATAAGGGTTGATGGTTGATGGTTGTCAGCCTCTTCCTACCCCGCAAGTCCCTTTTCCCATGTAAGCCTCGGAGAGGTGAGTATATCAAATCAAGTGGGGTGACAATATACATGCCTTCTCCTTTAAGCGCAATTTTTCCTGTCTGTATCACTCTTGAAGGTGTGCATGAATCATGGCAGTAGGAGCGGCTAACACTCACAATCCTTCCCCTCTACAGACAACAACAGTTCAAGAAAAGCAATATCCGCCTTGTCCTCGTCGCCGCCGCCACCCTCAGCCTTCAACTGCTCGAAGCATCCGACCTGCTGGTCCCTCGCCAACACGGCTTCACTCTCGTCCAAGGACACGCTCGCTATCCTTAATCAGCTGTGCACGCCCTCTTCACTTCTCTTCGACCCCCGCTATACGTCAAGGCTCCCTCCCTCACCTTCACCCCCCTTCCGGACCTTCCCCCCCTCACCGACTGTCCCAAGGCTTCCTATTTCAGTCCCAAGTACGATCAGCATCCAAAATCTCAGCACCGAAGAACCACCCGCAGATATGGACAAGAGACACCCGAGTTCGTTCCAGCAGCTGGAGAAGCTGGGGGAAGGCACATACGCCACTGTGAGTATTGCGCGTTTAGACACACAACTGGTGGTGGTGGTCTTTTGGGGCCTCACCTAGCGCAGAATTCTGGCCGAATACGTTACAGGCCTTTTCTGCGGCCAGAACCCCTCGGAGAATGATCATGCTGACCCAGCGCAGGTATTCAAGGGACGTAATAGACAGACGGGCGAGTTAGTAGCGTTGAAGGAGATCCACCTGGACTCGGAAGAAGGCACACCATCGACAGCGATCCGAGAGATTTCGCTGATGAAGGAGCTAAAGCACGTTAATATCGTCAGCCTGCACGATGTCATCCACACCGAAAACAAGCTCATGCTGGTCTTCGAGTATATGGATAAAGATTTGAAGAAGTACATGGACACAGAGGGCGAGCGAGGTGCATTACCACCCGTCACCATCAAGTCTTTCATGCACCAACTCCTTCTCGGAATTGATTTCTGCCACACAAATCGAGTCCTGCACCGCGATCTCAAGCCCCAAAACCTCCTCATAAATGTCAAGGGGCAGCTGAAGCTGGCCGATTTCGGTCTTGCGCGTGCCTTCGGAATTCCCGTAAACACCTTCTCCAACGAAGTCGTCACCCTCTGGTACCGCGCCCCCGACGTTCTCCTTGGAAGTCGCACATATAACACAAGCATCGACATCTGGTCTGCCGGCTGCATCATGGCCGAGATGTACACCGGACGCCCACTCTTCCCCGGTACAACCAACGAAGACCAACTTGTCCGCATCTTCCGCATCATGGGCACACCTTCCGAGCGCTCCTGGCCCGGCATCTCCCAGTACTCTGAGTACAAGCAGAATTTCCAGATGTATGCTACTCAAGACCTGCGTGTTATCCTCCCGCAAATCGACCCCATCGGCCTGGACCTCTTGCAACGGATGCTGCAACTACGACCGGAGTTGAGAATCAGTGCTCACGATGCGTTACAACATCCTTGGTTCAATGATCTTGGGGGACAGATGAGACCGCCGCCACCGCATCCTGGTCAGCATCCAAGCCAGATCCCGATGCAGCAGAGAGGATATGCGCAGCAAGGTGTGGTTTCGCAGGGTGGGTACGAATATTGAGTTCAGTGATGGATTTTGAGGGATGCGTTGCGTTTGATACCTAAAGAAGGGTGCATGCATGGCGTTGCTAGGAAAAGGACCTGGGAGAGAGCATTCCTCATGACATTAAGGACGATTATGCTACGATCACGAATTTTTTTCCTATTTTGCATTTCTGGTTTATGCAGGCTTTGTTCAAGATTCTCCTTTTCCCTCAGTCTGACTCACGCGAGCCTGATCTCAAGGTAAAGGAGGGGTTGTCCCCTTAACAGATCATAGGCAATCCAAGCCCTATTACGATTCTTGATCATATATACAGCAATGATACTAAACAGTACAATCGAATCTCAGCCGCCAGCCAGTCCAGTCCAAAGTGGTCCGGAAATGATGGATTCCTTAAGAAACTACATGACGCAACCAATCATGTGTAGGCTGCAGCTGGGCAATGGTCTACTGGCAACTCCAAGAAGAAATTTCATCGTCGAAAAAACCAACATAAGGGCTCATCTTTGATATTATGAACCGAGTCGTTCCGGGTGAGAGATCCAGTACGAAGCCCTGCTGCGTTGGTGATTCCTGTTATCTTGATCATTTTCAGCCGCTGCCGACTCCGACTCGGAATCCTCGGTCTTTGGTGGCTAGAGTAGTGTAGTAGGTAGGTGGTGGTGTATCATGGTATGAATGATATTTTTTTTTGCCTTTCTTATTTTTTCCCCTTTTACTATCCGCGTTCGAGATCCACGATGAAGATAGCTTCTACTCCGTTATTTATTGTGTGAGAGGCTTATTACCGCTTTTCTGACGACTTTTGTTGCTGTTTGGATACAGCGGAAAGATAGCGGGATTGATGTCAGGAAGGCAGTCGCATACATATATGATGTACATATACATATACATATGTTATTCGGTATACAACATTTGTCTTTGATCACAGGAGAGGAACTCTTGGTGTCTCCGTACAGTGATACCGGTATAGTTGTAGTCAATGCGGTTACCAAGAGCCCGCAGGTCTTCAGGCAGCAAGCACACTCTGACTACTACTACTACTATTAGTTTGCGTAAGCGCGATGATTCTTTACTCGAGCCATCGCATGAAATGCACAACTTCATCATCATTGCTAGAGACAGCCGTGGCTTCCGAATCAGGTTGTTGCACTTCGCCAAATATTAGAACTCCGTGATGCATTAGGAAGCTTGACTTGAGATACACTGGTTTTTTTGGTTTTTTTGGGGTTTTTTTTAGACTCTGGATTAGATTTGAGCAAGAACGATATATAGCACAAGCTCGGTCCTGGAATCGAAGACCCATTCCTGTTTGTTGTACATGGCAGCTGTCGGTCTAGCGATCTTGAGTCAAGACATTATTTATAGTGGTCGCGGGGTGGGCGGTCCGCCGATGTAGCAGTTTCAGCTCGGGTCTCCTTTTAACGAGTTGTCTCGGCTCGGATACCTATCGCTGTTCTCAAGACGGAGAGGCTCGACTTTGGATTTCCGAAGATCGACTATCGTGATGTGCTCGGATATTGGGGTCGAGCAGAGAAGGGCGAGTGCGGCGGCGCATCGGTCACGCCCTGAGTCCAGATGTCGGACTTCTTGACTCGGGAGACGAGGTGCGATCTGCAACAGAAAGGCTCGAGGTGAGACGAGTGGGAAGATAAAAGTCTCAAGGAGGTTAATGATGTCTTTTTCCTTCCCCCCCCCCCCCCCCTTTTTTCCGAGTCGGACAGGAGAGATGTCTGACTAACTTATTAATTAGTAAGTGCAAGAATTTGTTGACAAAGAGATCCCGTTTCTCGGGTCGGTCGGAAAATAACGCGATGTGCAAAAGACATCGAGAATGGCTATTTAGATTAAAACAGGGGGCGGACGCAGTCTCGATATATTATTCAAGAGGAACGAAGTCTTCTTCTTTTCTTTTCGGAAAAGAGTATGGATGCACCGAGGCGCTAGCGAGGCTTCCATTAAGATTTCAAAGCCGCGGTCCAAAGAATTTCTCCGAAGCGCCATACGCGACTTGCTCTCCGTACGAAGTGAACGTCTCTTGGTGAGGACGTAGCTTTGGCAGTCAAGAATAAGGATATATTGGAGGTATCCTTATTTCGCAAGAAGCTCGTGTTCTGTTTACCCTTCCCCATCATTCTCTGGACAAAGGGGGTTCTAAGGAGGTATCCTCGGATCAAATATCCTTTTAGCGAGGTTTCACCATCTCGTAAAGATGGCTGTGCACTCGACTCGAGCGGGAATCTGCAAAGTGCAAAAAATATGCCACAACCATAATGGAAGAATTAGATGTACTATGGTGTTTGGAATGCGAGAGGAGAAGCCAAATACGAAGTAACAGAGTAAAACAAGACCTTAACACGAGCTTTCAACACCAGCCTGATAGACTCCCAACGTGCCGTCTGCCTCAATAGTAACAAGAATTATGTCTCTTCTCGTAGCCTGCAGACGTGCTGGGTAGATTCACATTTAGTACTAAAAGAAAAACTCCAGAGAACTCTGGGGAAAAATCCTTTGGAGGAGACTTGTAATTCAATTCCATGTCCATCAGATCCTCATTGTATGCTGCCTACTTGGTAGCCCTATCAAACTCTTGATAGTCAAGAAAAGATGAGAGTGCGAATCAGTTCACACTGATAACAAACCACCGTCCTTCGAAAGTCATCTCTGGAGTCAGTGTAACCACACAGTCTGGGCAGCAGCTTCACATCCAGCAGTGAACTTTGTTGCACATCGCAATTAATATTCCGAGTCGTGATAAGACGATCACAGACCGGTGTCTATGTCGGCTCGGTTGGGAACTTGGACTCCCAAGCTGGACCAAGACAACGTCGTAAGCGGACAAGCCCAGCTCAGCGGCCATGCGAGCAGCCATGCGGAGAAATAAAATATATGACTTTGTTGCAAGTCGCAAGATCCCATCGAGTCAGATCGAGAAAGGGCGAGAAGTTTCCTTGACTCGCTCCGCTCATATGGCGAATCGTAACTCCGTGGGCACTACGTACTCACTCAGACATCCCTTTTTCGCAACTCGGAGATTCGGACTTATTTACATCACCGTTGACACTGACAAGCTGCCGGACAAGCCCTGGGATTCTTGTAAGGTCTGTAGAAGGGTACACGCGCTTATACCCGGTCCGATAGCAGCCAGCTAACAAACCAACATGGGAAAGATCGACTACACGTATATGGCGAAATCAAAACAGTCCCTGGCGGGAAAAGGGATTGCGAATCCCATCCACCGGCACTAGTAGCAGGCCCAGCTCGGACTCGATCAGTGATTGACCGGCACTCAACCTGCGCTGACTCGCCGGAGGGCTAGTGCATGACTCGGGCCTCGGGGTGACCGGGTGAGGAGAACCAAGATGTCGGGCCTTGATCCTGCGGGCATTATTCATGAGGCCCACCCGAGGCCGGCTGCAAACTCTATCTCGAAGTCAGGTAGAGTTCGCGGGATACCTACCTACGCGATGTCCTCAGTTTTGTTGCAGCTCGCAGTATTGGGTTTGGGTTTGGGACTGGGGCTGGGTTTCTTTCGCTTCGCTCGGCTGGCTTGTTATTCAAGACTCAAGTACCGGTAGTCAGAAGGGGGGATTCCCACCAGAGGCCGGCGGGTGGACTCTCTGCATGGCGCGTTAAATGCCATCTTCTAGACGCTTCCGCTGCCAGACAGACATGCATACATGCATGCATGCGTCCATCACATCTCCGCTTGAGATCGAATCAGTCCAAAAACGATAGCCGTCGAGGAGCGGCAAGCGGCAAATTGCACAAAAAAAGTCCCTATTGGCTTTTGTTGCACATCACTGATATAGACTTTGGCACGCCGGCGAGATGTTCATTCGGTCGCCATGTGCTGCATCCTGCCCGGCAAGAGCGAGGTGCCAGTTCGGGTTTTGCGATCCTAAGCAGTCCCTACGAATTCCAAGTCTTAACTCACTTTGTACGACCTCTTATCTATGTACAACGTATCTCGTATCGAACAGCCGATTCTTCCCTGCTCTTGTCTACTGAACTCAAAGGTCCCTCCCAGTAGAGACATCCAGGGTCGTTGTCGCCATCCCGCGTCTAGACTATGTTCTCGGTACCTCTGCTGCACATAGCAGAAGATTTGGACTCTGAGACAAGAGAGTCATGGATCCGTTCGTAGCTCATTTCGGCTCCTAGTGAGCCTCATACCTAGTTTAGAGCCTCAACCTGGTTACGGGATCCACAAAAGAGGGGTCCATGATGTTTGTCAGATTAGGTTTTGTTGCAACTCCGAATAGAAGGTTTGCTGTTTCTTCTTCTTCTTCTTCGTGAATGTTGGGATGACTCGCTGTTCCGATCCACTGCCGGTGGGAAGAGACGGTTTTGTTGCGCTTCGCAGATTTAGATTTCTTCTTGATTATGCGGGTGATATGCTGTTCAGATCCACTACCTGGTAGAAGAGATATTTTGTTGCGCTTCGCAGATTTAGATTTCTTCTTGATTGTGCGGGTGATATGCTATTCAGATCCACTAACTGGTGGAAGAGATCTTTTGTTGCGCTTCGCGAATCATGGTTTTCTTGTAAGCGTGCAACTCATGGGTTATGCAGGTCTATCGCTGGCAGGAGGGACTGTTTGTTGCACTTCGCTGTTCAAACTTTTCTCTAGCTGTCTGTTGGGAATATTGGAAGCCGTGAAGTTGACGAAGTCTATTCGATGTCGAGTCTGAATGGAAAGGCTTCTGCTATGCTGCAGTGGCAGCGAATATTCGTTGTAGATTGTACTACTTTCTATCTTACGAAGTTCGAGCTCTCTTCCTTCAGAGCCCCAAACTACTCGTAGGCATCTGAATTTCCTGAGGTACTGAGTCGCCGAACTGGCGAGCTGTACTCAGGAATAGGTATATCGTGGTCTCGGTCTAGCATGTAGATATCCCGCGGGCTCTGTAGGTCTAGAATGTATCCCGCGGGATCTGGTATCCCGAGTATGTTGCATTTCGCACATCAGACTTTTTCTTGGCAGCGATGAAGAAATTCCACAGGTTGATCGATG